ATAATATTGCACGCCCCACTTTTCAGTTTTTTATTTGTTAAAAAAGTTTAAATCATCCAATAAATTTCATTCCACTTCATGATTGTGTCCCACTTGTTGTTGATTCATGACAAGAATTTAATTTTTATATCTTTATGTTTGAAGCCTGAAATATGGCGAAATGTTGAAAGGTTCAATGGGGGCCGAATACTTTCGCAAGGCACTGTATATCTCATATATCATATATATATCTCATATATATATATCTCATATTTATCTATATATGTCATATATATCTCATATATATATATATGTCATATATATATATATATATATATCTCATATATATATATTTCATTTCATTTTTATGGAAACCCGTTTCCGCCATGTAAAAAAAAAAAAAAGCATACAGAAAGTCAAAATTACGACTTTAAAAGTCAAAATTACGAGTTTTCAACTGTGCATGTGCAGGACCTCACGGTATGTGTTGTTGTCTGGAACGGTCTCTGGACGTCCTTCACCTGCAGATTATGAAGATATTGCCGACAGTGACCACTGCATCCATGAAGAAGCCAGAAATAATGTTATTTAATTGATTCTGTAAAACTTTCCTGTTTAAGCCCCAGACCGCGGTCGTAGGACGCAGGGGGAGCTGTCTTTTTATTTATTTATGTTAAATTCAATTTACATATATACAACATTTAAATCAAACGACTTCTTATTTCGACATAGTAACAAATAATGTGAGCACATGAGGCCCACTGAAGAGTCTAAGTGGGAAGTCACGTATGTCGCTTCAACCTGTCCACCACTAACAGCAGGAGTAACCTCCTCCAGTTTGTCACGGATGGATGTAATTTTATTATTAAAGAAGTGGAGAAAGTCGACACTGCTCAGTGAGCTTGGAATTTTAGGCTCGATTGCGCTATGGCAGTTTGTGAGTTTAGCGACGGTGCTAAACAAAAATCTACTGTTATTTTCATTCGCTTCTATTAAAGTTGAATAGTATTGAGTTCGAGCCCCGCGAAGGGCCTTCTTGTAGTTTCGGAGACCTGCTTTCCACTCCCTGTGGACAGGCTCCGAGTGGGAGTGGCGATATAGCCTCTCCAATTTTCTGACGTCCTGTTTTAAAGTGTGGAGTTGAACACTGTACCAGGGCGACGATGATCTAATCCTAATAGTTTTCTGTTTTAAAGGAGCTGCTGCATTTAATGCAGATTTGAAAGACTCCATAGTGTTGCCCACCGTTTGGTCAATGACTGAGGGACTGCAGCTGCTGTGAACAGGTTCACCTGCAGCAGTATTCAACATAGGCTGTATTAGTTCTTTGAACCTTGTGATAGATTTATCATTTAAGGTTCTTTTCATTATGGTTTTATCTTGCGGGACAGGAAAGTCCTCCAAAGCGAGATCAAACGTGATCAAGAAATGGTCAGACAGCAACGAGCTTTGACGCTGGATGTCAACATTGGAGACATCACAGCCGTAGGTCAGGACAAGGTCCAAGGTGTGGTTATGAATGTGAGTAGGTTCCTCGACATTCTGAGTAAAACCAACACCATCTAGTACGGCGCTGAAAGCTTTGTTTAAGCTGTCAGTGCTGTCGTCCACATGTATATTGAAGTCTCCAGCTATAACTATGTTTTCCCATTCCAAAACTAGGTTTGAAATGAAGTCAGAGAATTCTGTTAGGAACTCGCTGTAAGGACCAGGAGGTCGGTATAAAACTATAAATAGTACTGCTTTTTGTTTTCTCCACCCAGGACAGGTGATTGAAAGTGTTAAGTTTTCAAACGAGTGAAAAGCATTGTTGGTTTTGGGACTAAGAACCAAGTTGGTGTGTGATATAATCGCAACGCCACCGCCGCGACCTGTAGTTCTGGCTTTCTGGTAGTTAACATGCGTCGGAGGAGTGCACTCATTCAATCTAACGTACTCGTCCTGTTGGAGCCAAGTCTCCGAGAGCGCAAACAGATCCAAGCCCTTGTCTATAATAAGTTCGTTTATGAGAAGCGATTCAGACGAGATTGATCTGACGTTCATTAAACCACATTTAACAACCCTACCGCTAGAACTATTTCTGTCTGTCTGAACTTTTATTAAATTACTGTGTCTGACACCCACACACACACACACACCCAGGTCAAATTTCCTCACATATAGTGCTTTAGACTTCAAGCGAGGAACACACACAGTTTCAATCTGACTAAGTTCTGAGGCTAGTAACTGAGCACACACATGCACACACAGGCACACACACACATGCACACACACACACACACACACATGCACACACAGTTTCAATCTGACTAGCCTCTGAGGCTAGTAACTGAACAGATGGGGGCTCAGAGGTTGTGGCAGAGCAGCTCTGCACCCGGGCCTCAGTTCTGCATCGTCATTTGAGCCGAGCAGAACAGTTTAGAGCCAGGGCCAAATTCTTAGCCAAAAGGGATGTACCCGCCAACGTTGGGTGGATATCATCCGAGCGGATGAGACCGGGCTTTCCCCAAAAGGCACTCCA